CACAATGTTGACGGCTCATTTTAACTTGTCAGTTGACATTACCATCCTTCCGGATTTGACACCCTGACTTGGAAATTCATCCAAATTGATCTCCACAAGAGTTTGGTCTGAATTCGGGGCGCCTGGGTGGCTTAGTCGGTTAAGCGTCCGACTTTCTCTTAGGTCATGATCTCGCGGTTCGTGGGTTCGAGCCCCGCCTCGGGCTCTGTGCTGACTGCCAGCTCAGAGCCTGGAGCCTGCTTCAGTCTGTGACTCCCTCTCTCTCTGACTCTCCCCTGCTCACGCTGTCTCTCTCTCTCTCCTAGAAATAAATAAAACATTAAAAAAAAAAGAGTTTGGTCTGAATTAACCAGATGATGGTTTCAATTCTCCACTTACGTCTTAGTCTGGATCTCTGGAAAGCAGAGCCTGAAGCAGAGGGTGTATGTGCTCTTATTTTACTAAGGAGAACAATCCCAGGGAAGGAGTGTGAAGGACAAAGACAGCCAAGGAAGGAAGGTGAAAAAACCAAAGTAGAGGTGGTACTTACCAGTTGCTGCAAAGTGCTATTGATTGCTGGATTCAAAGACTAGGCTCTTAAGAATTCAGACATGCTGTATGTAAGGACTGTTGAGTTAGCAGGGAAGGAGGTAGAAGGAGGAAGACTTTATCTACTGGCTGTGATCTATGAAATCATAGTTTCATCCCTTGTACTTTCAGATTGCATTATATCTGGGTGCATGTGGACCCCTAGTAGGGACGTGCTTGGGGGCAGGGAGGAGAGATCTGCAAGGCAGGGCTGGAGGTAAAGTGCTTTCACCTTTGGCCTGTGAACTTTGACAGAGCTCATTACAGAGCTTGACCTGCCCATCTATGCCTAACAAGCTGGACTAAGAGCTAGATACATCCAAAGAAGTATCTTATTTAACTTATAACCTGTAATATGGCCTACTGATTTGACTAAAGTCAAGTAAGATTTTAGAAATACAGACAATAGGGGCACCTGAGTGGCTCAGTTGCTTAAGCGTCTGACCTCAGCTCAGGTCATGATCTTGTGGTTTGTGAGTTCAAGCCCTGCGTCAGGGTCTGTGCTGACAGCTCGGAGCCTGGAGCTGCTTCTGAGTCTGTCTCCCTCTCTTTCTACCCTCCCCCACTCATACTCTGTCTCTCTCAAAAATAAACAAACATTGAAAAAGAAAAGAAAGAAAGACAGACAGCAATGGAAATGAACTTGTTGCTTTTAAAGTAGTTAATAGAAGTCCTCTAACCGGGGTGGTGAGCTGATCTGAGAATTTAAGTTGCTTTCCATAGAGCAGGAGAACTGCAGATTTGCTTTGGGCAGACTTATACAGGAAACAACTTTAGAATTATTATTTTAACAGGGCAGAAAAATCTCATGGATTTTGAATGCTGACTTTTCCCCCTTAATCAGAACATTTCACTGTCCTATCATCTAGTGTCCATTTTAGAGGGACATTTGTAAGGAGTTGCTTTATCTGTTTTTCAGGGGCAGCACTACCAACAATTTGTGGTGGGGCAGTTTGTAGTTATGAGGGACTCCCTGGCATTTGGGATATTTATGTCCCCGTCCCCCATTCGCCTCCCTCCAGCCCTTGAGAGGACCGAAAACACTTGCACATTTTCTAATGTGCTCCAGCACCCCCACCTTTGAAAACCACTGCTGGAGGGGTTGACGATTAGCCTCATCCTTACAGATGAGGAAACCAGGACTTAGAGAAGCTGGGTAGCAAGGTCACGCTACTGGCGAGCAGTGGATTTGGTTCTCCATAAGCGTAAGTGCTTTCCTAACTTCCCTCTGCAGAGAGTGTTTAAGTGAGCAGCAAGTTACTTAAGTTACTGCATTTATAATGGGACACAACTTATAAAATATTTTCACAGAGCTGCGCTTCGTAAGGTGAGGTTCACTTGTCAGATGGTCATGCTAACAAAGACAGAATAAACAATAGGTCAGAGAGAAGTCACAAAGTATACAGACCATGAAGAGTTTGAGAAAAGATTATAGGAAGAAATTACAAATAAACTAGGCAATTCAGCCTATAAGTTGGAATGAATTTATAGGTCTTCGAGCATATGAAAGATTTTTGCACAGAGAGTGGTGTGACTATATGACATGCTACACAGTCAGAGATACTGTGAGCTAATGGTGTTTGCATTGGGATAGTGTCTGTAAAGAACCTGAAAGCTTACCAAGCACTTCCATGTACATTATCTCATCTAAATAATTTTTATAGTGTTGAGTTGAGTTGAAGTGATAAAGTTCTATGCTCTTGTTATATACATATGTAAAGATGACAGAAAACAAACATTACAGATAAAAATCAGGGAAAGGACTATTGAATATAAACATATATGATGATTCAGTTTTAATTAGATAGGAAGATGGGAGTTCATATAGGCAGGTCCATGCCTGACCGTCAGACGTCTAGGAAATTCAAGGAACTGGTTAATTTTAGTGGAAGGTCTATGTGTGTATTCCAAGACTTGGCTAACCGAACAAACCAACAGACCACCAATCAAAGTGAAACCAAATTCAAAGAGAAAATATGTATCCATGACATATTACGGATTGTCACTGAAAACAAACCCCAAATTAGAAAAAGCTGGGAACCAGGATTATCAGGATGCGTGAGGTACAATGCAAAGGCAGGATAAAAAAGATGATATGAGAGAAAACTCTAGAGAAAAAGAAGAGTTCTGAGAAGAACTCCTTATGTGGAAAAAAAATTTGCATGCAAGCTACAACCATCTAATTCATTATTCATGAGGAATTGGCCATCCTATTACCTATGCGTGTAACCCCAAATTACTAGAAATGACATAAGAGGTGAGAAGAATTGACTATGTATGGTGCATGAGTATGTGTTTTTATAGTTACATTATCTGACTGACTTTTAAATCCAGGAATTCTCTCCTGTGATGACGCTAGTATCCCTTCCTCTGTGACATCATTTATTCAATAAATAGCACACCCATTGTGTGCCAGGCACTCTCTACTCACTGGAGATACAGTAGAGAACAGAACAAACATATTTTTGCTCTCATGGAGATTATTTTCTTGAATGTATGCAGGGGGTGGGGAGGGGAGGGACAGCAGAAGAATGAAATAAAGAAGGAACATTTGACATGGCAGTATGTCAAAGGTGGTAGGTGTTATGTAGATGGTAAAACAAGCAAGGAGGTTAGGGACCGTAGGGGCATCAATAAAAAAATAATATCTGTTGCTCAGGATAAAATATTAAGTGAAAAGAACAGGTCTGAAATTGCATATAAGTTTATCGCCTGTATTTATGTAAAAACAAATTTAATATAATATGCACAGAAAAGAGAATCAAGGGGAATGTTTCCAAATATTAAAGTGATTATCTTCTCAGTTGACAAAACGAGGAGTGATTTTTAAGATGCTTCTCTTTATATTTTGCCATTTTGTTAGTTTTCTATGTTAGCATGCATTACTTTTATAAATCAGAAGTGGTACAAAGTTAAAATTATTTTTTAAAATATGTCTTTCATCTCCTCTAAACAGAATGGTTCCTACCCAGTATAATAGATTTGTGTTATATGTATGGAAGAATCATTTTCTAGAGATATAAAATAAAACCTTCTTGAAATGCCCAATAATATCTCATTATCCACTGCTCTTTCTACTAAAATGTTATCAGTTTTTAAATATCTAGACCCTCTGCCCTGATTTCTCTCCCCTTATTCACTTACTGCTTAGAGCACTCATAAGATGCTTACCATCTATTGTCTTCTATTAGTAACCTCCCTTCAAGAGGCAGTAGCTAAGACTCTGGAAAACAGTATGGAGAGGCCTCAAAAAATTAAAAAATAGAACTATGCTGCAACCCAGCAATTGCACTATTAGGTATTTATTTCAGGGATACAGGTGTGCTGCTTCAAAGAGGGACATACACCCCAATGTTTATAGCAGCGCTATCAGCAATAGCCAAAGTATGGAAAGAACCCAAATGTTCATTGACTGATGAACGGATAAAGAAGATGTGGTACACACACACACACACACACACACACACACACACATACACACAGAGGAATATTACTCGGCCATCAAGAAGAATGAAATCTTGCCACTTGTAACTACGTGGTTAGAACTAGAGGATGTTATGCTAAGCAAAAGTAGTCAGTCAGAGAAAGACAAATATATGACTTCACTCCTATGAGGAATCTAAGATACAAAACGGAAGAACATAAGGGAAGGGAAGCAAAAATAATATAAAAACAGGAAAGGGGACAAAAAAACATAAGAGATTCTTAAATACAGAGAATAATCTGAGGGTTGCTGGAAGGGTTATGGTGGGGGATGGGCTGAATGTGTGAGGGGTATTAGGAAGGATACTTGTTGGGATGAGCACTGGGTGTTATATGTAAGGGATGAATCACCGGAATCTATTCCTGAAATCATTACAGCAGTATATGCTAACTGACTTGGATGTAAATTTAAAAATGAAAAAAATAAATGAGGAAAAAAAAAAAGAGGCAGTGGCTAAGACCACAGATTCCACAGACAGGCATCTTGGGATTGAATTCCACCTTGCTACTCACTAGTTGTGTGACTTTGGCCAAGTGGCCTGATCTTCCTGTGCTGCCACTTCCTCACAGAAAACAGGATGTAGGGGCTCCTGGGTGGCTCAGTTGGTTAAGTGTCTGACCCTTGGTTTCAGCTCAGGTCATGATCTATCTCACGGTTCATGAGTTCAAGCCTCTCATGGGGCTCTGCACTGACAGTACAAAGCCTGCTTGGGATTCTCTCTCTCTCTCTCTCCCTCTCTCTCTCTCTCTCTCTCCCCTTGTCCTTCTTGCTCCTGCTCTGTCTCTCTCTTTCTTAAAATAAATAAAGTTAAAAAAATAAAAGAAAACAGGATGTGCATAATTCCTATCTCGTAGGTTACTATGAAGAATAGTGAGTTCATCCATGTAATAGTGCTTAGGACAATGGTTGGTATATATTAAACGTTACTCATTATTATTTAACTTTTCAGAAGACGAGGACCACATTTGATATTTCTCTACATTAGCTCCAAGTAAGCACAGTGCTTAGGAAATGCATCCTATCCATCTTACATCCCTACGGCCTAACATGTGGGGAGCAGGTGAGCTTTGGTGTGGGGTAGGAGAGAGGAGAATGTCAAGCAGTTTTATCTGTTATGTTTGTAATCCACTCTGTCATTCTTCAAGGTAAACAGCAGGTATGAAAGCTGAGGCTCTGAGAATTTAAACAACTTACCCAACATCACCTGGCTGTTAAGTGCAAATTAAATTCATGTTTGTTTGACTCTATTCATTGTACTATGTGTTGGAAATAAATGTGAATAAATGGATGAGTGAATTTGAGAAGGACCTGGAATTGTCTTTTGAGCTCCTCCCGCATTTATTTATTTACCACTGTATTCCCAGAACTTAGCACAGCGCTTATGTCATAGGAAGAGCTCAATAAATATTTATTGTTAAATGAATGAACAAATAAATGAAGAAAAGCACAAAGGAAAAAAAATCAAGGAATGAACAGGCAAAATGCCCTTTCAAAACATTATTTTCAGCCTTAATATCCCATCTCCTACATTCAGTATGTGACAGATTCATGATAAATGCATCTATTCAGTACCTAGAGAAAGTGGAGGAAGTAATTCATTCCCTATTTGCTACATGCACAAATTCAGACCAACTGATACACAATCACCCGTGGTTTTCTTTTTAAGAAATGAAGAGTAATAATTCTCCAGTTGTGCAAGTGGAAGCTTCATTTGTTTGGCTGTGGGTTCACATGAAATAGGCAAAGGAATTCTAGTAAGCCCATACGGTGCATCCCCAACATATTTTCTCTTTCGATTCAATAAACTTTGGGAATGCGTTTTTGTTTGTATTTTAGATTATTGTATCTCCCCCCCCCCCCCCGCCCCAATCAATCGCAAGCTGGCAAAAATCTACGAGGACTCCTGGAGGGACTATTACAGATACTTCTTTTGATTCAAACTAGTCCCCCACTTCTTCTTAATATAAGCATGGGAGAAACACCGTAAGTTTAAGATAAAATGATTTATTTATAATAACATGTCAACATGATAAAAACACATTAATATATCTGCAGGGTACAATGAAAAACTGCCATAAAAATCAGCGTAAAAATAATTTTCATTTAGATGAATAATACCAGATAGTTCTGGAATGAGCCAATATGTGTTTTTGTGAAGAAAGTTTATATCCCACTGGTGCTTATAAAGCATTTCAGAATTCATAAAAATATGCTTTCTTGCATGATTTTAGAGTTTATAAAAAACTCATGGTGGAAATGGCATAATATAATTATGTTTTATATGCGTACATTCTCTCCACCCACACATACAAATCTTCAACATTGGAATTAATTTTGGAACAGGGAGGTTGCTTTGAGATGATAGTCAAATAACTATAATATGCAAATACTGTAGAGCAGAAATATAAACAAGATGAGTGTTAGCCACAGATGATTTTAAAATTTTGAGAGCTACTATTAATACACAGTATTGAACAAGAACTCTTTCTCAGTGGTCAAATTAGAACCTTCCTACAAATGAGAAAATACTAATATTGGTATTATTGTTTCTATTACCATATGTATCTGGGGGTATAGTTATACAAAACACAGTTATAATCCTACAACATAGGTTCTTTATTTTGCTTCCTATGGCCATAATGGATAGTGAAAACTGTCTGAAGCATTTCATAAACCTAACATTCTATTTTACTAGGATAAAACTTTTTCCTAATGTAATTCTCTTTACTGAATTAGATTATTGGCAATAGATTTTATTGTGAAAATGAATTCTTTTAAATTTTATAATAAAGGGGGAATCATGACAGACACATTATTATTAGTAATGCAAATATACAGGCACATAGACATACGTATAGGCTTATTGTATGGTAAATATTTGTATCCTTTGCACACTCTTTGGTACAAAATGGTATACATTGTATTAAGAATGATACATGGCACCTGTTCAACAATCTATGTGTAACATTTGCCTCTTTGTTTTGAAAATCAATTCAAATTCCCCCACTTTGCTTACATTGCTTACGGTTTTTCACACATATATGCTGATAAGGTTGACTCTTGTATTAATTATTTTTGCTATAGTAACAAGTGACCCAAACATTTCAGTGGCTTATCCTAATATAGATTTATTTCATGCTCACAGGCCTCTGAGGATTGCTTACAGCTTTGATGGGCTCTATGTGTTTTTTAAGTTCAGGACTATCCAAGGAAGGCCACTCTTTCAGCAGAGATCAGAAGCTCAAGAGGACAAAACAAATTATGCAAGCATATTAGTACCTCTTCAAGGATGGAGTGTATGTCACATGTGCTCACATTCCATTGGTCAAAGCAAGTCTCATGGCCAAGTTCCCTTGTCAATGTGGTGGGAAGTATGTGCCTCCCCTACATTGGGGAGGTGAGGGAGGAAAAATTGGCGGTTAAGTGCTAGTTTAAAAGTGATACAATCTGTCCTGACTGCAGATTAAGAAGCCAAGTCATACCCATAAGTTACAAAAAAGAGCTAAATACTAAAATATCATTGCAGATTTTAGAAAAATTCTAGTATTTCTTTGGAGAACTACTTATAAAAGATGTGATTGTTTGGGAGACAGATTGGAGGTTTAGAGAAAGCGATCTGGTACATTAATTAAATCTAAGAAAGTACAGAACAAAACATATTCACTTCTTTCTGGGGTTTCCTTAGCACCTCTGTTTACCTCTATCATTTTACATATCACTATGCTTTCTGACTGTTCATTTCTGAAGACAGAAGCAGTATCTATTATTTTGCCACACCCAAGGCCTAGTAAAAGCCCTGGCATCTCAAAAGCACTTGATAAGGGGCGCCTGGGTGGCTTAGTCGGTTGGGCGTCCGACTTTCGCTTAGGTCATGATCTCGCGGTTGGTGGGTTCGAGCCCCGCGTCGGGCTCTGTGCTGACTGCCAGCTCAGAGCCTGGAGCCTGTTTCAGTCTGTGACTCCCTCTCTCTCTGACCCTCCCCTGCTCACGCTGTCTCTCTCTCTCTCTCTCTCCTAGAAATAAATAAAAATAAAAAAATAAAAAAATAAGCACTTGATAAATGTCTTTTGAGTGACTAAATGACTAAATGCACACAGAACCCAGAATATGTTGTTCTTACTGTTTTTCAATTCTAAAATCATGGAAGAATTAACATAGTTATTTTTCTCTTCCCCGTTTTCTATGTGGGACTTCTCACTTTTCCTTCTCTTAGTGAGGTGATTTTATTTTAAATAAAATAAGTTAAACATGCTTGGTTTAATACACCTGAAGTATTTTCCTGCAGATAAGCTGTATGCACATGAACATGTATGCCTATGTGTGTGTGTGTGTGTGTGTGTGTGAGAGAGAGAGAGAGAGAGAGAGAAATCTATACAAACAGATTTTACACGTTTACCAAGTATCTTTAGGGTATTCACTATTCATTTACTATACTACTGATAAAAATCAGTTCTTGAACTGGCTTCTATTCCACACTTATTTCTTTTATGATTTGCTCACTGGAAAAACCTTCAGAGTCACATTATGTAGTTATGAGCCTGTCAGGAGGTCTATTACCATACCAACGCAGTTAAAAAGATTTCAAATAAATTGTATAATGCAATCCCTTCACAGTATACAGTGGGCAACAACGTACAGAAATGAGAAAGTGATGATAATTCAAAAAAAATAAAAATGGAAACAGTAGAATGCAAAACAGTTTCTATTACCATTCAACACATAAAATAAACCTTTCAATTTCTATAAAATTATTGTTAAACTCACTTGGCTCAGTTGTATATTTTTCATGATTTAAACTTCACACTGAAGTCATGAAGTATTTTAAAATGAAGTTCATATGAAATTGCATCTTTGTGAGTCATCCAGAAATAATATAGAGATACCATCTCTGCAATTCCCTCTGCTTCTCCAAACCATGACTTTCCAATTCTGTATCTGATATTAGAGAGACAAAGTATGTGACAAGAGTAGAAAATATTATTTTTATATTGCTACACAAAAGGAAACAGAATTTGCTCATGATTTTTTACATATGCATATTATCTTCCTACAGGAAACTCAATTGTTCCTGGCAAAACTTTTGAGGACGTGAATGAATATGATTTCTTAGTACAAGTCACCTTGGCTTTTTTTTTTCTTATAGGTAAAAAGGTGATGACAATTTAAAGACTAAGAATTATCCAAAAATCCCAGCTTCATGAAATATCAGATTTGTAATGAATATTCAGAAGATTTTCATTTAGAAACTCACACATATCATGGTGGAAATAGTAAAGTGACTCAAAATAGTTAACACTTGAAATCTCAAAATTCTTGGCTTAATGCTGAGAAATATTTGGAATATAACAAGATCAAGCTGTTTTTATCTGATGCTTGACTTTATGCAAAGGATCCTATCAGATACAAATTCAGCTAAGACTTAATGACACAAAGCTATGATATAAAGCTCCCAGCAGCAAAGGAGTGAGAACATAAAATTCTTGTAGGGATTTATTTTTTAATGTATGTTTGAAAAATGTTCCTCACAGATGAGAAAAAGTAAGGAGCTATTCATAAAACCTTTGGCTTATTTCCACAAAAGTGTTCCATTTACTGAACAGGAAATAAGGTGTAGAATGTACTTTTAACCAAATGAAGAATTCGTTGCTCCAATTTATAAAAGCCGTTCATTCCTACTACTACCAATCCAAACATTTCCTCATCTGTACCTCTCAAGAGGTTTGGCTCTTTAAAAGAAGTTCAAGTATCAATGTTTACGGCAGCCTCTTTCGTGAAGAGGAGGAAAAAGCAATTCCTTTTCAATGTTGATAAATCATGGTGGGTGACAAAGCTGGGTTTACTTGGTATGATGAGAAACTTGCCAGAGGAGCACGCTCCCAGTTTCTTTGACCACATGGCAACCTTCTTAGGGGGAAAGCCTAGAGTTTGCTAGGGTGCATCCATACTTTGTAGAATAAATTTTGCACTGATGGGGAGGAGGAGGATGTGTTGAGATTGTCAGACTTTGGATGGAGCAGTCACAGAAAAACAGGTAAATCTAAAAATGCAGAACAGACTTAACCAACAAACTGCTTAAAGAGGCAAAAGAGGCAAAGTATGGAATAACTGGTGACAGTTAACCACAGGTGTTTTTATAGCTAATGCAGGGGGTCCTTGCAGCAGGGATTCAGGGTTGAGGGTGAGTTTTGGATTCAGGAAACATAGTCAATGTTAGTACTTAGAAATATGGGATTTATTACAGACAGGTTTGATTATCTCTCTAAAATAATCTTCCTTGCTT